AGGAGTGAAGTTCTGGAACAGCCTTCCAAGGGGAGTAGTGGGGGCAAAAGACATATCTGGCTTCAAGACTAAGCTTGATAAGTTTATGGAGGGGAAGGTATGATGGGATAGCCTAATTTTGGCAATTAATTTATCTTTGATTATTAGCAGGTAAATATGCCCAATGGTCTGTGATGGGATGTTAGATGGGGTGGGATCTGAGTTACTACAGAGAATTCTTTCCTGGATGCTGGCTGGTGAGTCTTGCCCACATGCTCAGGGTTTAACTGATCGCCATATTTGGGGTCGGGAAGGAATTTCCCTCCAGGCCAGATTGGCAGAGGCCCTGGAGGTTTTTCGCCTTCCTCTGCAGTGTGGGGCACGGGTCACTTGTTGGAGGATTCTCTGCACCTTGAGGTCTTTAAACCAGTATTTGAGGACTTCAATAACTCAGGCATAGATTAGGGATTTGTTACAGGAGTGGGTGGGTGAGATTCTGTGGCCTGCGTTGTGCAGGAGGTCAGACTAGATGATCATAATGGTCCCTTCTGACCTTAAAGTCCATGTGTCTATGAGTACCATGAACAAGTGGAAACTTCACCTATATTGGCAAGTATTTGTCTTTGAAATTAATCTGGCTTCAATACCAATATGGCCTTGGAATGTCTCCCTTGGCTTTAAGTGCACTTTCAGATGGATACAGCATAGACTCATAGGGTTACAAGAGACCACAAGGGTCATCTAGTCTAACCCTCTACCAAGATGCAGTATTGGTTGGGTCTAAACCATCCAAGACAGATGGCTGTCACGCCTCCTTTTGAAAACTTCCATTGAGGGAGATTCCATGACTTCCCTAGGCAGTCCGTTCCATTGTCCTACTGTTCTTACAGTTAGGAAGTTTTCCCCAAGATTTCATCTAAATCTGCAATGTTGTAGTTTGAACCCGTTGCCTCTTGTCCTGCCCTTTGTGGCAAGAGAGAACAGTTTTCCTCCATCTTTTTTATCGCAGCATGTCAAGTATTTGCTGATATAGCTTGCATTCCATCCCTTTGATCATCTTTGTCGTTCACTTCTGGATCCTTTCCAGTTTCTCTACATACTTTCTATACATTGGTGACCAAAATTGGACACAGTATTCCAGCTAAGGCCTAACCAGCACCAAGTAGAACAATACTATCACCTCCCATGACTTGCATGCTATGCCTCTGTTAATGCAACCCAAAATTGCATTTGCTTTTTTTGCAACAGCATTGTACTGTTGACTCATGTTGAGGTTGTGATCCACCACAACTCCCAGATCCTTCTCAGCAGTGCTGCTGCCAAGCCAATTATCCCCCGTGCTGTATTTGTGCATTTGGTTTTTCTTCCATAAGTGTAGCACCTTACATTTGTCTTTGTTGAATTTCATTTTGTTGTCTATAGCTCAGCTCTCCAGTTTATCAAGATCCATTTGAATTTTAGATATATCCTCCATAGTGTTTGCAGCCCCTCCACCCAACTTTGTGTCATCTGCAAATTTGATCAGTATGCTCTCTATTCCTACATCCAGGTCATTAATAAAGATGTTAAATAACACCAGACTCAGAACAGATCCCTGTGAAACCTCACTTGAGACCTCTTTCCAATCTGACATCATTCCATTAACAATTACTCTTTGTGGTTGTTCAACAAATTATGTATCCACTTAACGGTAGTTCTGCCGATCATTTCTCCAGCTTACTTCTAAGAATGTTATGTGGGAATGTGTCAAAAGCCTTGCTAAAGTCCAGGTATATTATGTCCACCACTTTCCCCCTATCCACCAAACCAGTTACCCTATCAAAGAAGGAAATAACTGGTTTGGCATGATTTGTTCTTAGTAAATCTATGCTGGCTGCTAGTGATTACCCCTTCATCCTCCCGGTATTTGCATATTGCATGTTTCATACATTGCTCTAGTACAGTGTTTTTCAAACTTTTTAGACTGCGTACCCCTTTCCAAATAATGTAGTCTACCGCATACCCCAATCTGAGATAGGGTCATAATATATCTATGATTAGATTGCCAAGTCTTATTAAATCAAATGTGTTGTCCGTCATTATAGGATTTTTCTCACATACCCCCGATGAGAGCTTGCGTACCCCTCGGGGCATGCGTACCCCATAGTTCCCCAGCTCCTCCTTTTTCCATCTTCTCCCTGTCTAGGGTGACTATACATCCTGTTTTGGGCGGGACAGTCCCTTTTTTAAGCCCAGTCCTGGCCGTCCCAACCTTTTTGGCAAAACTGGGCATTTGTCCTGTTCGCTCTTGCCACCTGATCATCAGCTGGCAAGAGCAAACTGGACAAATGGACAGTTTTGCCAAAAAAGTGGGGTGCAACCTCTAGCAGGGTGCAGAAAATCATTCACGGGAGAGAGGGCTTGGAAGTGCGGCTCGGGCCAGGCCAGCCACAGGCAGGCAGTAGGGGGAGCTCGGACCTGGGCCGGACCCAAACATGATGAGGAGAGGGGGACCTTGGGCTGGCCCTGCATGTGAGGGGGGTGGGGGAGAGAGGACCAGCCCCACATGGGTGGGTGGCAGGGGAGCCTTTGGCCAGCCCTGCGTGCTGGTGGGGAAGGGGGACCTTGGGCCGGTCCTGCACACTGAGGGAAGAGTGGAGCCTCAGCCAGCCTCGCACACCGAGGGAAGAGGGGGACCTCGGGTTGGCCCCGCCACTGGTGGGCAGCAGGGGAGCTTATGACCGGCTCAGGGCACAGGAAGGTGGGCCTCAGGCCGGTCTGCATGCCAGGAGAGAAGGGGGCCCACAGGCTGGTCCTGTGTGCCAGAGGAGGTGATGGTGGGGAGTGAGGCCTTGGGCTGGATCCATGCAGTGTTCTGTTTTCCCTTTGGGAAAATATGGTCACCCTATCCCAATCTTATCCTCCCATTCTGATTAGAAAATTTGCAAACATGCAGCTGTTTGGCCTAAAAATTATTCCTAGCTATGTGATGATTGGTTTTCTGCTAGCAGTGGCTGACACATAAGATGACTGACTGCAGTACTGTGAAGTTCTGGGGTAACACGCAGGAATGTCAAATTCTGGGGTAACATCTCCATGGGACCTTGCCTATTATTTCTCAGGGTTCGTTGAAATCTGCCTTTTTGATGTCCAGTGTCCTTGTTTTGCGATTCTCATGTCCTCCTTTCCTTAGGATCTTGAATTCTATCAGATCATGATCACTTCCTTCCAAGTTCCCGACCACCTTCACATTCGCAACTAATTAATCCCTGTTGGTCAAAAACAGATCCAAAATGGATGATTCCCTACTTATTTCTTCAACTTTCTGAATCAGAAGGCTGTCCCCTATACATGCTAAGAACTTGCAGGACAAAGTATATTTTGCTGTGTTACCGTGGTTCTCTAACTTTGATATAGAGTCCACTAGTGGCTTCTGAATATTTCCAGATGATCCCATGAAGCTCTTGCCATCACAGTCTGTCGAAGCAGTGACCTTTCCTGCTAGTTTTGTTCCAGTCCAGAAAAAACATCTTTGGTTTTTAGAATTTTTTTTTGAATAATTACACTAAGAATAAAATAAAATCCCAAGCCTCTCTCCATCCTGCATCTGGATCGCCTGGTAACCAGGATGCAAATAAATAATATTCAGTTCAATATGTCTGTACATAAAGCTATACATCAAGGAACAAATAATGTTGGCCATACTTACAGGATGGGGGACTGTCTCCTGGGAATCAGTGACTCTGAAAAAGAGTTGGGGGTCATCGTCAATAAGGACAGCTTCCAGTGCAACTCTGTGGCCAAAAGGGCTAATACGATTCCTAGATGTATAAACAGGAGAATCTTGAGTAGGAGTAAGAAGGTTATTTTCTCTCTATACTTGGCACTGGTGTGACCGTTGCTGGAATACTGTGTCCAGTTCTGGTGTCGCAATTCAAGAAGGATATTGCTAAATTAGAGAGGGTTCAGAGAATAGCCACAAGAATGATTAAAGGATTAGAAAACCTGCCTTGTAGTGATAGAGGCAAAGAACTCAAATTTTTTCTTAACAAAGAGAAAGTTAAGGGGTGTCTTGATCACAGCCTAGAAGTACCTACATGGGGAATTTGATCATGGGCTCTTCAGTCTAGCAGACGAAGGTATAACAAAATCCAATGGCTTGAAGTTGAAGCTAGACAAATTCAGATTTGAAATAAACACAGTTTTTTACAGTGAGGGTAATTAACCATTGCAACAACTTACAAAAAATTGTGGTGGAGCCTCCGCACTGCCATTTTAAAACCACGAGTTCTAAAATTTCTGCTCCAGTTCAAACAGGAATTATTTTGGCAAAGTTCCAGACTAGATGCTCACAGTGATCCCGTCTGGTGTTAGAATCTAGGAGTCCTGCATGGCTGCATCATATTTTAATTTGTTGGGTGTTTCTTTGTTTTAAAATAATTAAATTTGACAGCACAAGAAGATAAGAGGACAGACCCACACTACAGAGTAACCTGTGGCATTCAGAATAGTGAAGGCTACAGGGAATGAGGGGTGATTTGGTACTGACAAATAAATGTCTGGCGGGATTTTCAAAACAGAACAATGGGAGCTCCTGGGAGCTCTCTCCAGCTGCAGTGATTGGAAGTGCAGAGCACTTCTGAAAATCTGGTCCTTAAAGACCTTCACCCTTGGAGAGGAAATAAAAACAGCCCAGGGAGCAAATGGAGGACATAGCCATTAGCTGAAAGCAATTCTGCCCACATATTACTTTTGTGTATTTTTCCACCAAGCATTATTTATATTGCAGGAAGGGTGAGAAATTGGGAGGGTACAGTAGGAAGTGTCCACAAGACAATCTTGAATTAATGAAGAGATCCCATGGTGTGCAAACATGTGAGAACCCCTGGGGTGCAGCATTCTTTTACACTTCCCAGCTTAGCCTCTTGTGTAAAGTTAGCTGGTGTTCAGTGTTAAACAGCTGCCATATTTCACTCAAGAGGTGGCTGCATTTCAGTAGTGTGTATCTGCTTATTATCCTCTTCTTTCTTCTTCTGCACCAGGGAGAGCTGACAATGACAAGCGATATGGAGAACCTACAGAATGCCCTCTTCCTGGACACCGTGCCTGAGTCTTGGACTAGGAGGGCTTATCCTTCCATGGCTGGCCTGGCTGGCTGGTTTGCTGACCTGCTCAGCCGTATCAAGGAGCTTGAGACATGGACAGGAGACTTTGTCTTGCCCTCTGTTGTGTGGCTAGCGGGATTCTTCAACCCTCAGTCTTTCCTGACAGCCATCATGCAGTCCATGGCCCGAAAGAATGAGTGGCCTTTGGATAAAATGACTCTGCAGTGCGATGTGACGAAGAGGAACCGCGAAGATTTGAGCAGCCCTCCTCGTGAGGGTGCCTACGTACATGGTTTATTCATGGAGGGTGCACGCTGGGATATGCAGGTAATCTTAGCAATTGTTTGATGAGGAGACGAGTCATTGCAGCTTATACACTGTTCGGGGTGTTTATGGTTACAACTGAAGCCCATGTTCTCATCTAAGGGTGTGTCTACACAGCAGGTAGGAGGTGCTTCTCAGCGCAGATGGACACGTGTTAACTCTGCTCAAGCTAGTGCACTAAAAATAGCAGTGTGGCCACAGCAACACAGGCTGGCCACTCGAGTACAAACCCATCCCACCCCACCCCACCCCTGGCTATGTACCAGGCAACTGGCCTACATTGCCGTGCAGAGCTAGCATGTGTCTGTCAAGCCTCCCTGGGAAGCAGCCTCCCAGCTGCTGTGTAGACATGCGGTTGGCCAGTATTTCTCTTGGCACTCGTACTATTGTTGCATAACTAGGGAATGTCTACACATTACCTGAAGGGGGTGGGTGGTGATGCCCAGCTCAGGTAGACATCTACATATTAGCTCTGCTCGAGCTAGCCGGGAATTACACCTCTCAGCTGCCATGTAGACATGCGCATAGAGACCACAGTCTCCTCATGACCATGACATCCCTGCACATGTGGATATTGCAGGGTCTCTGCATGGCCACGGTATTGCTGCACACGTGACCTACACGTGTTACAAGGCAAACTGTTACTGTACTGGTGCTGATATGCTTGCTACAGTCTCCTCTCTCCAGGGGCTCCAGGACTTTTGGAGTAACTTGTACCAATTTACCACACGAGGGGTCAAGTTCTGCCATGAGATACACATGCACTCCCCTTCCCAGAGAACATATCAGCACCTCAGCTTGTAAAACCACAGAGCTAGGAGGATGAAGACAAGGGAGCTAAGATGTGAGTGGAGCTGGGGAGGGGAACTCAGGGCTCTTATCACCCCTCCCACAGAAGCTGCACTTTCAGTACTGTCACAGAGGCGGGAGTTGGAGGACCAAGCAGCCAAAATGCACCAGGTTTGTAATACCTTAGAATGGACCCTGCCCCAGATAAGCCTGTCAACTCAACAGAAAACAGTGGCTGGAGAGAAGCTCTGGTGCCCAATTTAGGAGCCCTGGGAGTAGCAGAAAGAGAATGGGATGGAACCAGCTTTCTCAGATCTGAGAGTCCCACGGATCCAAATGCAACTCCACATGTGGCCAGAACCCAGGATTCCAAGGACCCGCTGATGGTACCAACTTAGCTTGGACCAAAATGTCCATGGACTCCTCAGTCCAGGTGACAGAGCTAGTCTGAATGCTGCCATGGTGGATCCCACAAGAGAAGGGACTGGGTTTGGCTCCAAAGATACATCAGTCTTCAGGCATACCCTTCACCAAAGAGCTTCAAGGGATTGAGTCTTTGTGTAGAGGGATCTGAAAGCAGTCCCAGTGCAGAGGAGCGACTGGCCTGACCAGAGTGGGTATCAGTCAGTAGGAGGCAGGACTGGAGGGCTGTATGCACACTCCCTACCCGCAGGAGCGCTCAGACATTGTTTGGTGACTACACAGCGAATCACATTGCTCCTAAAGTGTAGTGCATCGGAGACAGAATCCTGAAGAACAATTGTCACTGACATTCCCATTGACAGTTGTCAGCCGCTGGGATTTCAGTCTGCAGAGTGAATGACGAATCCCCACCAAGACTGCTCCTGCAGGTTGCCACGTCTGTGGTAGCATAACTCACAATTTGTGCTGTATGCAGGAATTAAATGACAGTGATTCATGCAGCTCTTACTCTAGGCAGCCTGTGTTACACTTCTGCTGCCAGTGATCTGTGAGTGAGCTCTGATCAAAGTGGGTCACTTACTTAGCTATGCTGAGTTCTCCCCTCCACCCCCTGGCATGGGGAAGTTTTCTTTCAGTAGCAGCTCTTGTCAAGGTTCATAGACTCAACCTTGAAGACCACCTCCCTGACGGGGCTTGGTACTAGGATTCCGTGTAGAGAGGCTGAAGTCTCAAATGCTGAATCTCATCCTGATCTTGCAATTCATATCAAATGCATTCCGAAGAGTTTTAAGCTTTTAAGTTTTCTCTCTTTAAAATAGGTTATCACAGAGGATGGGAAATTAGGAAAGGCTCTAAATGTGATCACCATCCTTGGAACTAGAACATTTCAGAACTCCCACCCTGAAGCTGAGCGGTGGCTTTTTATCTATAGTCTTCCTTCCTTGAAGTGACTATAAGAGGACAGGGAAAGATAAGACTCCAGGTTCCATTCCATCTCAGGGTGTGTAGCGATGCGCAGTGAGTTTAGAATGCTACAGACCCCAGGAACTCTGATAGTAACAGCAATACAAATGAACTGTGAGCAGGTGGACTTCCTGTCCTGTTCCAGATAAAGACTTCACACACTGCATAAGCTCAGACTTACCTCCTTGCTGGGTTTGGCCTTACTGGTAACTGAAATCTCAGTAACTGAACATACACCAACGTCAACGCACTTCCTGAATCTGGCTGTTCCTAGGGTTTCCTGCATCCTCGCTTTCTCTGCCCCCCATTCTGTCTGACCAGAGATTCTTACTCACCTCCCTACTCGTCTGGTGAAATTAACAAGATACACCTGCCACGATGAATCTGTGGAATATTCTCAGCAGCTGTGTGCAGGGTTCTAACCACTGCCAACAAGGTGGGTCCACAGAAAAGCCTGACCCCTTTGTAGGGCATGAGATCCTGATGCTATTGTAAGCACCACTAGATTTCAAGTGCCTGCAAGAACTAACTTTTTCAACTAATGATATCAACCAAGAGGGATAAAACAGAATAATGGATCCTTGCTTGTAGAACAGCTCAGCTGGGAAGAATGTTCTAATCCTGCCTTATTGAAAACTTAGTGAAATGGCTGCTGGTAGTTTTGCAGGGTTAGATAACATGGTGCCCAAAATGCCTGAGTCCTGTCGGGGCTGCAGCCTGCACCTTTGCTACCACTGCTGGAGCTGCAGCAGTGATGGATCACAGCTGGGAAGTTTGCTAGTGCAACCCCTGCAATCAAGTACGGATCATGCTGTGGTTCCAACTGCTCCTGCTAATTCTCACATCTAGGTAACTCTGGTTCAGTTCTAGTGACGTTTTCCAAAGACGAGCTCATCTTTTACAAATGTATGTTTCCAGTTATTTTGTTTTCTGTAGTTGAAAAGCTCTGAACACAAACATCGATAGAACCATTCACAATCTCAGAGCATTGCACTTCCATGTTTTAAGAAAGAAAAAGAACATTTTAATATTTCATAGTTCACAGTGAACCATCAATCCCACATCTGACGGAGCTATTCATTTACCTGCATCCTAGTGGGGGCCAGTATAAATTAATGGATGAAGAATTAGTAGCACAGATGCACAGCCCATCTGGGCTATATATCCATTGCAAATTTATCCTCTGATAAGAATGACAACTGGTATTTAGAGTAAGTATTTTGAGGAGTTTCTCTGCTTTTAGAAAAGCTATTTCATGTTTAAGATGATACCTCCAATTTTATGTCCAGAAGAAGAAGATAAAAACCTCCTCTATAGATTTTTACTGTATCTATTTGTATTCGCACCTGGGCACCTTCCATTTATAAATCAATCATTATAAATAACAGCCAGCTTTAAACTAAGCCAAACCCACCAGATTGTACGGGGGATAAAATTCCCTGCTGGTGTAGCTCCACTGAAGTCAGTAGAGTTTCTGCAGAGAATTTGGCTAATGGTGCCATGAAGCTGATTAGACGCATGGTTTGGAAGGCTGCTTTAAGAGTTTTGGTCTGCTCACTGCATGCCCTGCAACTAGCCATAGAGAGCTTAATCCTAGGAGCCAACAGTGATCCCAGCCCAGGGGACTGTAATAATGATACCACGATGGGACAGAGGGGGAGATAACTGGGCATTACTCCATTTGGTGCTTTGCAGAGCATACGTGACACACTGAATTGCCCTTGGAAGCAAATACGCGGCCACTGAAGAGTGCACTGAGCAATGGTGTTCCACGCTCATGGCCCCTTGTTGCCTTCACAAACAGACTGCTGCATTCTGCACCAGCTGATGCCGCCATCGTAGTTTTGTGTAAAGCACACAGCAGTAAACCAGCTTGGGCGTTACAAAGGCTCCCTGTGGTGGGGTCCACCCTGAAGAGGAACAATCACAGCCTGCATTTAGCCTAGATGCTTCTAATAGTCAGCTTGGAGAGGAGTCATGGGGATGGTGAGGTGGCCCATGCACCTCCATAGTTCCTGACGAGCACATGTTTACAATGGGGCACATCCCAAAGGCTAAGACGGATGCAAACAGCTTGGCCAAACTCTTCCTGACCTATTTGAGCATGCACCTAGGCTCTAGCCAGACAAACACTAGTCAAACAGGGCCAGCAGCATTCTCATCCAGGCTCCCGTAATACAAGCAAGGTCTGGAATCGCATTCCCCAGTAAATCGTGGATGGTATATTCCTATGGGCAGCTGCCTGCACATTGAATCGCGTGAACTGAAGGCTTGTGTCTCTGCTAATCATGAGATACCTGGTCCACCAGATACCAGCAACCAGCAATGCTACTCTACTTCCATGGCCTCCATGCTAGCGCCCACACTGGGTGCTGTCACTGCAGCTGAGAGCCCCAAAAATCTCAGGGTGGATTCAGAGGGAATACTTGTCAACACCTGCTGGTACATGGACTGTTATTTGTGGTTAATCTGATGTGGAGTTAACTTGGCAATCCCATTCTATCCATCTCTGAACCCTACAATCAACCCAGGGCAAAACTCTCCCACATGGCCCACTTGAGTAGCACAAATCAAGCATCCATCCCACTGCTGGATTCCGCCTGTCGAACAGACACATGAGCACAAGGGCACAGCTGATTCTCAGGCAGGCGAGCAGAGCAGTCATTTTCTCCCCCCCTCTGTTTCTTTTTCTTTTTTCTTTCTTTTTTTTTTTGGCTCAGCCACTTGGGAGGGGTGGGAGTCACCAAAAATGTTTTCCATCCTGGCTGGCAAAATGGCTAGGACTGCTCCTGGCCAAGGGACAGGTCTCTCCCCCCGTACATCTCCTGCAGAACCCTAAACCAACAGGCGCTGATAACTTTCACCTGCCCCAACTTGAAATGGGGTTCTCCCCTGGCCTCTGCCTGCCCATGTCTCACCAACCCATGCACCCAGCATATCATCTCACCCCTCACACACACAACCTGTATAACCTGAGGTTAGAGGCAAGTCCAATTAAAAGGCAGCAAAACAGTGTGGATGGGGCTGTAAAGAAACCAAGAAAATTATATCAAGTCAATTATACCCCAACATAATGGCATGCAAATGGTGCTCTGTTAGTAGAACCTCTAGATACAGCCAGGAGAAAGGCGATTCATGCACTGGTCTAAAGATTTAATCCTATTGCTAATATCCCCTGGTTTGTAGCTTGCTTTGGGCTCCCATTCCCATGTAACGTGGCAATATAATTTGTCCACCATTCCAACTAACTTTTGAGAAGGCAGAACAGATCAAACTGCTGTTGGAGAAGAGTTCGCCATCAGGATCTGAGAGACTGGGTCTCTGGGGACATCCAGGGCTGCTATGTAACAAGCGCACTTTGCTAGCAGTTAGGGACAGTTGTTTTCAAAGCAGAATTCATTTCTGATCATCAGGGAGATAAAAATGCAAATGAAAACCAGCCTGGAGATAGAACAAGGATAAGTGCCTTTGAGATATCTCAGAGAGATTGAAACCCTTGTCAACCTAGAAACGGATGGAATATTTCATGAAAATCTATTTCCATTATTGCCATCAATAAACAGCCTATCTGATCAGAATCCAGTAACAAAAAATTAAAAGGATATGTGTAAAAATAATACACAATAACAGCACTTGCCATGTAGCACCCTCGAGAGCAGATGCAAGGATTAGTGAGTGTTTGTACAGAGCATTGAAAATATGAAGACCTATATAAGTCCTGTATTATCATTACTATCTTATTATAACAAATGGTATTGTTAAAATTAAATTAAGCTAGCGAGGTATGTGCAAGAGTGATTACTTTACTTTGCTTATTGCTAGGACTGAATAAATCACTAGATAGGTTCAGTCTCACCACACAACTCTGGTTTGGGGACATTTGAAATAAAATCATCTGTGAAGCTAATCTTCAGGGAGAGGCAGTCCCTGGAGCACAGTGAGGTACGAGTTCCTACTCCATATTTGTTTGTATTTCCCTCTCTCTGGCCTGCATTAGGCAGTTTATACAAGCTGTTCCCAGAAGGGGACTCATAGATAAATCATTTTACAGTTGGAAGAAGGGACAGTAGTTGCCTGAGAGACCAGAGTGGGGGAAGCAAACCAGCCAGTTTGACGTAATCCCCACATACTGGCTTCCTCTGCTGGGTCATGGCAACCTGCTGATGAAGAGCTGTGCTGTGCAGAGGACACCGGAGACTCACTCACTACAGACAATTCTCTGTCAGAATGGCCCATGCGTATCCCCACTTTTCACATTAGCATCCCTGGTAGTAGGAGCTCAGATTCTTCTAGCAGGCAGGGCCCACGAGGCCACTCAACTAATCCCCATGCAGGGTTCAGAATGAGCCTCCCGAAGCCCCTTCTCATCGCCAAGGGCACAGCGAGCTCACAGGGCCCTTGGTGCTCCCTTCTTGGGTCTGTTCTCTGCCCCTTTGGGAGCTGTGCTTTGAATACAGCTAATCAGCCAGGGTTTATATTAAAAACCAAACAGCAGCAGCCTGCTCAGCTGTGGGTCCCTATGGACATTGGCTGAGAGCCAATAAATAAGCTGCTTCCTCCCGTACCCATTTCTGGGCGGCGCCATCATTTCACACTGGTCAAATACAAGTTTATTAGGACATGTTTAACACAGGACCAGATTTTGCCCTGAAAATACCCAGTGCAATCCCAGTGGGTTTCACAGGGTGAAAGTCACTGCAATTTGACACACTGTGTTTTCTAGTTTAGTGTATCAGAGCCCTGTCGATCCCATTGTCATGGGGAGTTTGCTCATGTTGGTGCATAAATCCTGTATCTGACTGATTTCCTCACTCTCCCAGGCCAGGGGCATTGCTGGACACAGCCCTGCAGGATGGGGTTGTGTTCTCCAGGATGTGACTGGAGTGTTGCCATTATTCGTTCGTAGTGCATTTCAAGAGCAATAGCCAATAAAAGCCCATTGGTTACAACCTTACAGCCTGATCCTGAAGCCACTCTGAGGCTACATCTACACTCCGGGGGGGGGTCGATTTAAGATACGCAAATTCAGCTACGCAAATAGCGTAGCTGAATTCGACGTATCGCAGCCGACTTACCCCACTGTAGGTACGGCGGCAAAATCGACCTCTGCGGCTTCCCGTCGATGGCGCTTACTCCCACCTCCGCTGGTGGAGTAAGAGCGTCGATTCGGGGATCGATTGTCGCGTCCCAACGGGACGCGATAAATCGATTCCCAAGAGGTCAATTTCTACCCGCCGATTCAGGCGGGTAGTGTAGACCCAGCCTTAGTCTTTGCTCCAGCAAAGAGCCCAGCGAGGTCAAAGATTGAAAAACCACTGTATGGGGACTTCAGGATTTGTCCCCCAATCTTAGAGTCAGAATCCTGATCCCGGGGAGGGGAGGGGGGTTGGGGACCCTGTGATGTAAGAACAACTAGAGTCAGGATATAACTGCACCTTTTCCCTTTGAAAAAGCTACATTAGGGTGAGGCAGCTGATGAAAGTGGCCGGACACATGATCTTGGCACCTCCATGCATATTTTAACACCTAACGGAAGATGTTTTCACCTGACCGAAGTCACATGTTTACTTAACACTGAAACATTCATGCCTGTCACCTCTCAAACTGACACTGGGCATCATTCCAGAGGTCTTTTCTAGTCAGACCAAACCTAGTATTTGAGATGCTCAATGTACAGCCATGCAAATTGGATCATCTCTTCCCTCTGGGCCTGGCAGGAGGGGGCGTCTGCACAGAACAGTGCTGTGTGTCCGCAGGAGTCCAAGTGGAGCAGGGATCTAATCTGGGGAAAGTGATTGGTGCAAGAGTGAGGGAGGGTGAGATGTCAGATGTCCAGGGGTTAGAACTGTCTGATATTTTACTTTGATATAATATAGTCTTCATTGGGCCAGGACACAAGAAGCAGAAGTTGTAAAAGGGCACAGACAGGAAGTAATACATGGCAGGAAACAGGCTGTGGAAGGAGCGGGAGGCTGTAAATGATCATGCATATTGGGGACCCAGTTGGTGGTAAGTCTTGGCATTCTTCAAAAGTAACATTTAAAACCTTTTCTTCTTTCCTCTGCAGACAGGGATGATGATGGATGCCAGGCTGAAGGATCTAACTCCAGCCATGCCCGTTATTTTCATCAAGGCCATTCCTGCTGACAAACAGGACACTCGCAGCATGTACCCATGTCCCGTGTACAAAACACGTCAGAGAGGGCCAACCTATGTGTGGACTTTTAACCTGAAAACTAAAGAAAACCCTTCCAAGTGGGTCCTAGCTGGGGTGGCACTGCTTCTGCAAATTTAGGTTCTGATTGACACCGAGGTTCACCAACAGATAATGTCTCAATGGGAGCTTTGAACCATTTCACATTCAAGCAATTTCTAAAATAATATGCGTAGAGGAAAAAAAAACCTTTGTCTTCTTAACTTTTTGAATGCGGGCATTTAGCAAGCTTGGCAAATGAATTCTTAAGAGGATGTAGCATGAAGTAGCAGATGCATCTATGGGAGAGGCAGTGTGGCCTAGTGGCTAGAATATCAGTGTAGGCCTCAGAAGGCCTAGGTTCTATTCCCAGCTCAGTTACTGAATGACCATAGGCAAATCACTTTATCCTTCCATGCCTCAGTTTCCCCATCTGTAAAAAGGGGATATAATACTGACCGCCTTTGTAAAGTGCTTTGGAATCTACTGATGAAAAGTGCTGCATAAGAGCTAGGTATTTTTTATATATGTGACTGGACACTGTGGCCAGAGCCTCAGCTGCTATAAATCAGGGGATTGCCATTCATTCAATGGAGCTACGTGGATTTAAACCAGCTGAAGGAATGGCCCCATCTCTATCACATCCAGAGGATTAAAGGGCTGTTAGGCTCAAATTGACCTAATCTATATTTTTCTCTGTGTAGGTTCTGATCCAAAGCCAGTCGAAGTCCGAGGGAGTCTTTCCATTGACTTTGATGGGCTTTGGAGCTGGCTAAATTGAATAAGCTTTGTAATTCTTTAGACTCTGGTTTTTTTTTTTAATCCAACCCAATGTTTCAGTGAAGTGTGAAGAAAAATTCCGAAAGCCAGGGAGCACAGTACTCGTTAGGGGAATAAATGATTGTAAATGATGTAGGATTCCTCACTGATATCTCTTTAGACTCTAGGAACACTGGAAGGAGAGAGAACGCCGCCAGGCTATTAATGAATGAGGGAGATGCAGTAAAGCAAACCATTTCAGAAGGGTGAACATTTCCTAATAAAATCTTTATTCTTGGACTTGCCTCTAGAACTCCCATTTTGTTTCTTTTGGCCTGAAATATCAACATTATCCCACTGCGCAGGGAGTATGAATCGTGTGTATGACATGAGAGACCAGGGAAAGTATGCAGGTAGTTGCAGTTTAGAAATATCTCATGATCGCTACTGCAAGGGCTAGATTCACAAAAGGGACTTAGGCACCTTACTGCCACTTTAGGAGCCCAAATCCCAGAAGCTCTGCCTCAGCTACCCTGAACCCTGTAGGCACCTAAACTTGCTTAGCACCTAATTTTTGCAGCAAATGGTTCTGCCTCTGCACGTGCGCACTGTAGCCCCACACCAGGCAACCAGAGCCCCAGAGTGAGTCAAGAACTGGGGGAAGATAGGCGCTCCTCCACCTAACTGATCTGGAACGTGAGCTTGGAGCACACCTGCTGGACTGGGCCCCTATAGGCAAGCTTACACAAAAGAGCCAACCAGGTGCTCCCTCATAACGTTTAGCCCATTGATCAGGGCACTCACCTGGGGAGCCCTAGAGGGGCTAAGTGATTTGCCAGCTTTCAGGGGCATGTCCTAACCACTGGGCTATGGGATAGTCAGATGTGGGGCTCCCTTGGCCTGCTGTAGATTAATAATGAAAGAGAAAGAGCATAAACATGAGCCTGACTCTAGCCTGGGGGTTAGCACACTCAGCGGGGAGACCCAGGAGCCAGTCCTCCTGCTCCAATGCCTTTTTTAAATTATTTATCCAGCGTGCAACTGATTCAACAGGAGAGACTGGGAGATTCCCCATCAGACTAGCCCAGAGCCCAGGGACTAGCGTACTCACTGGAGAGGTACCAGATCCATAGTCAAACCCTTTCTCCCCTGCAGCTGCTGAGGGGACTTGACCTGGGGGTCCTTGAGAAGCTGTAAAGAAGGGCCGCCACTGCCTGTGAAGCAAATGATGTAGGCACCTACTCCCATGGGCAGGCTCACAGCTGAGGGAGGTGCCTCCCTGTGGCCCAGACATAGGCACCAAACTCTGTGAAAAGGGAAGGGTGGGGCTCGGTGCACTCCCCTGGGCTTGGCACCTCCCAGAGGATCGCTGAGGTGAGGAAAGGTCTAGGGCGCTGGCTTTTGTGAATTGCAGTCTAGGTACCAGTCTGTCCCTGTGCACTGTACTGGGAGCCGGAGCGCTGCCTAACCCAGGCTTTGTGAATCCCAGGGATTTCTAGGTGCCTAAAAGTTATAGATGGCGACACCGAGTGCCACCGCCCCTACATTTCTTTGTGAGTGTAACCTGAAGCGGTTAGAATCGGTGTAATCCTGTGCAGCAAACCCAATGACCTTGCTGATTATGTGTTAGATCACACATAAAACTAGACTGGTGTTTAGGTTGTAAAGTCAAGCACAAAGTCAGGAAATGCCAGAATTACGGGTTCCCAGGCAACCTTACCTCTGCCCCCGTCTACTTACACCAGTCTTCAGTCACATGATCAGACACTTTTCCCCCTCAAGCAACCTGCCTAATTCCACTGCTTAGTATTTTTTTTTATCCTCATCATTCAGCGTGTGGCTTCATGCCATCTTTTCTGCCACTATCCAAACCCTGCACGAACTGTTGAACTGTCTTATGGGCATTTCTGGACATGCTTCATCACAGCTCGAGTATCTTGCAACCCTTCATGACTTTGGCCTGGATGCACAAAAGAAGGTAGGTGCCTATGTCCCTGCTTTAGGTGCCTAACGCCCAGTTTGGGGATCAGTGTGATGCATAAAACTCCCACTGAATCTTGGCGGAACCTAAACTCACTTGACCCCTAAGATTTTTGCAGCAAAAGTTCCCTTCGCAACTATGTTTCTCCCTCTGGGCGTGTGCAGTGCAGTCGTCCTGGGGCTTATCTCCCGTCTGAGCCACAGAGCAGGTCTCAAACTGAGGTAAGCCAGGTATTCAGCCGTGTTGCGTGCGGGGCCTGGTCTGTTGGGTGTGCTCAGAGACTGCCTGACAGGGTGGGCCCCTCAGGAAACATCACACAAATCACAGTGACAACTTCCCTCATAATGCTTAGCCCAGTGGTGAGGGTCCTCACCAGTGATCACATGGGAGAAGGGATTTGAACAAGGATCTGATACCCCTCACAGAAGTGCTCGAAGCATCAGGCTTTGGGCTATTCTTCTGTGGGGCTCCCTCAGTCTCACCGGTTGAAGCTGTTGCCCACTGGATAAATAATGAAAGAACTAGTGGAGCAGGGGGCCTGGATCCTAGGGCTCCAGGCCGTGGCCTTGCAATGGTTCAGAGAAAGGTCAAGCCATGCAAAAGTTAAGGAACGCCTGGTTGAAAAGGGACCCTGTTGGCTCCAGACAGCGCAGCTGACCGGACACTAAACGTCCGGTTGGCGGGGCTAAAGCAGGCTCCCTGCGTACCCTGGGTCCACGCAGCTCCCAGAAGCGGCAGCATGTCTGGCTCCTAGGCGCAGGGGAAGCCATGGGAGCTCCATGCGCTGCCCCATCCCGAGCACTGGCTCCACAGCTCCCATTGGCAGGGAACAGCAGCCAATGGGAGCTGCGGGGGTGGCACCTGCAGGTGGGGGCAGCATGTGGATCCCCCTGGTCCCTCTGTCTAGGAGCCAGAGGGACATGCCGTCCGCTTCCAAGAACTGCCTGAGGTAAGCGCAACCTGGAGCCCACACCCCAAACCCTCTCCTGCACCACAACCCCCTGCCTCAGGTCAGAATCCCCTCCTGAACCCTAAGTCCCTTCCAGACCTTGCAACCCAATGCCCTGCCCCAGCCCTGAGCCCGCTCCCACACCCCAAACACCTGCCCCAGTCCTGAGCCCCATCCCACACCCAAACTCCCTCCCAGAGCCTGCACCCCACACTCCCTCCCACACTCTGAACCCCTTGGCCCCAGCCTGGAGCTCCCTCCTTCACCCAAATCCCTCATCCTTGGTCCTACCCCAGAGCCTTCACCCCCTCCCGCACCCCAACCCCCAGCCCGGTGAAAGTGAGGGAGGGTGTGGGAGAGTGAGCGACGGAGGGACAGGGGTGGGGCCTCGGAGCAGGGGCGGGGCAAGGATGTTTGGTTTTGTGCGATTAGAAAGTTGGCAACCCTACCGCCAGCATGCTCATGGGGGTGAGCTCTGTCTGTCTCTCACTTTCTTAAAGAGTCATTTGGGCCAAAGAAAGCGAGTGTAAAGACACAAGAATGCCCTGGTAGTGTAGGGGTTAGAGCCTAGTGGTGTAGCTATAAAAGCCTTAACTTTTGCCTGGCCTGTCATCTCTCTTTAATACTGCAAGGCCAGAGATCTGTACATTCACTTTACTGGAACTCTGGACCATGTTATAGAGGCTGGGTGTGTATAAATGCTGGGCCCATTGTATTGCATTGATTTTAAGTCCTTTCTTCAGTGGACTAGCCCCTCTTTCTGCTCAGTGCTGCCCTCTGAGATGCCCACTTATCTGCAGGAAAGGGAAAAGTTCATTAAATTCCCCAAGCACCGATTGCTCTTTCCAGAGTAAATCGCCTGTTCTGTTCTCCTGCCATCTGAAGAAGAATGGGATGCCGACACCAAAACGGCTCCAATTGTTTTATTATGGATAAAGCTCTTCCTGCATAATTCACCAGTTGGGCTAGCTGGGTGTTTGGGAGATATTTATAGACACTAGAAATGTCACCCGGGCGCTCATCTCTCATCCTTTTGAAAATCATCGCAGCTAGGATTCGGATGGGAAATGTTACAAGAAACTCGAGAGCAAATCATTTGGTGCTTTAGGAGAAAAAAGAACTGTGTGTTTTCCTAACTGTGTGGGTTTAAAATAGGTAATTAAATGCAGCTGGCCAAGCTATTCACTAGGAGCAATGCATTAGTCTAAGGTGGGCATCTGTGGTGCATGAACTGTGCATGGCTCTTTAAGGCAATTGCTTGCATGGAGCTATCCTGCCCACTCCTTCCCCACTCTGTGGAGCCTTATGGGAGTGGAAAGAACTGAGTGGTGGCTAGGGCCCTGCTCCAAGGTACATCAGGGAGGGCTGAGGTTCAAGCCCTGGCTGGGGTAAAGAGGCCTTCGGCTCTGAGCCACAGCAGTGCTCCAGGGCAGCCTGGATCAGAGAGCCCAAAAGCTCAGGTGAGCCGGGGCCAAAGCATTCTTGTCCTTGCTTACAGACAGCCCCCCAACCTGAAGCAAATACTCACCAGCAACCCCACACCACACCACACAACAAAAACACTAACCCAGGAACCTATCCTTGCAACAAAGCCCGTTGCCAACTCTGTCCACATATCTATTCAGGGGACACCATCATAGGACCTAATCACATCAGCCACACTATCAGAGGCTCGTTCACCTGCACATCTACCAATGTGATATATGCCATCATGTGCCAGGAATGACCCTCTGCCATGTACATTGGCCAAACCGGATAGTCTCTATGCAAAAGAATAAATGGACGCAAATCAGAAGTCAAGAATTATAACATTCAAAAACCTGTCAGAGAACACTTCAACCTCCCTGGGTCACTCAATTACAGATATCAAAGTTGCAATATTCCAACAAAAAAACTTCAAAAACAGACTCCAATGAGAAACTGCAGAACTGGAATTAATTTGCAAACTGGACACCATTAAATTAGTCTTGAATAAAGACTGGGAGTGGATGGGTCATTATACAAAGTAAAAACTGTTTCCCCATGCTATTTTTTTCCCCTACTGTTACTCACACCTTCTTGTCAACTGTTGGAAATGGGCCATCCTGATTATCACTACAAAAGTTTTTTTTTCTCCTGCTGATAATAGCTCACCTTAATTAATTACTCTCATTACAGTTGGTATGGGAACACCCATTTTTTCATGTTCTCTGTGTATATATATCTTCCTACTGTATTTTTCACTGCATGCATCTGATGAAGTGGGTTTTAGCCCACGAAAGCTTATGCTCAAATAAATTTGTTAGTCTCTAAGGTGCCACAAGTACTCCTCTTTCTTCTTGCTGAAACAGACTAACATGGCTATCACTCTGAAACTTGTGACTGGGTGTA